TTTAGCAGTTCTTTTGTAAAAGTGTTCATGGTACTCTGCTATTCTGTTCTTTAAGGATATGATATCCTACTAAAACTAGCCTATCTTGTTCAGCTTTTTGTGCTCGTTCGATTCATTTGTAACTCGGATTTTTAAAATAGAAAATAGAACAAGAAAAAATTAGAATATGACAAAAGTCTACTTTTTCGATTTTGTGTGCGGGGCTTTTCATATAAAATCGGTAACTCACTTAATTTTAGGCTCTAAGGTTTAAAAGCCTGGATTTATGGGTAACTTTGAAAGCTTCATATAATGAGATTTTTAATAGAATTTTTTTTGATTGCAGTAGAAATCGAAGAAAATCGTCTTTAGTCTAAAACTTTTTGGAAATTTCAGATATTTCAGATTTTCTGCCAAAAAGTAAGGTGGTTTTCAAACATTTCAGGTAAAATCTTCGCTTGATTGATGCACTTTCACTGCTGTTGACCGCTTACAGAAATTAGAAATTGATTTGTAGACGAGAAGCAGTCAGCCGTATGTACGTAGCCGCTGTTATATATGCAATATTATATTATAGAAATAGCAAAAGTTACTAAAGTAAAATTCTATTACATTCTAACAATAGTTAAGATAGATTTTTTTCATAAAACTTGCTCTCTCACGTTCACTCATCTGTCATAAGACTTGTATCGATTAGATTCGAAGTAAGTAAAAATCAAGTCCAATTCTGGAAATGAAAACCTTCATTCCAGACTTTTCTACTTTTGTCGGTAAGATTTTACGATTTCACATAACTCTGTAGTCGAGACTTTATATACGACATGCAGATACACAGGTGCAGAAGATAGTACTAGCAAAAGTTCAATGGATTTGATTGCTAATCGCATTTTTCTTGTTTAGTATGAAAGCCTGCACCTTTTATTTCGAAAAAATGCTCGGGAAAATATTATGGCAAACTAAATCAGTTTTGAAAAATAATTTAAGGGCTCCTGCTCAAAAATCTATTATTGCGAGGAAGTGTTCGATCTTACCCAAAGTTACAGCGAATGTTACCTCTATCAAAGTAGGCTTAGAGTACGAAATGTTATGTTTTCTTTACACATCAATGGGTGTAGTTTTTGATGTTGATTCCGGATATCACCTCTATTTTGATTTAAAACCAGCTTTAGGCTGTGAAAACTGGATAAAACTGGAAAAAGTTGAAAAATTAGCGTCAGTCGCCCATATTGTTTGTAACAATATGGCGAACAGTCAGGTTATACGCACCACATATGTCTAGTTAGTCCTTCTCTTTAGCTCGAACTAGACGCAAATTGTGTCATTGGGAGATCTGGACGATCTTTATTCTTAAGTTCTTCGGTGTAGAGAGAATGAACAACATTTTAATGATGTAAACCATCAGCAAAGTTGTTTATCATGATATGTTTGTATTACTTTAAGACCAGTCACGATGCTGTCGTTTATAATCACGATAAACGATAACAGGCGCGCTAACTGGAAATACAATGGAAATCACCATACTTTAGCCTTCATAGCGGTAGGAAACGCCTCTGGATCTAGTGACGATAACTGTCAGCAATCGCTCTTTACCATCTTTAATATCTAAATCACCTGGGAGCTTCGATACGGACGTTCATCTTATGCTTAATTTTTCATTAAGGACCAAAATTGAACCGCTCAAAATCGCAACTGAAGCAATAATTAAACAAGCCGCATCCTCATTATCTGCTACCGTGTGAATTTAAGTATTACTCTGACTTTAAGTCACGGCAGAGCGGCAGAGAGAACGGCAAGAATTTTGAAATGCTCCCTTAAGGAACCATAATCGAAAACAATTACGGCCATTTGTATTTTATGAAGAGATGAGATCTTTTGAATTGCAAGATAAATTAATGCAAGCATTTTACGACGAGTATCTATCAATGGCAGAGGAAACAGAACTAGGTGATGGTTTTCACTTACCTTGGACAAACTATCCTAGTAGCATTCCCGCTTCATTTCGCGGCAAGCATATGGCCTCATCTTGCCGCGATTTTGATAAGAAATTTGAAACCTCATCAAAGATCATCAATCACAGTCACATATTCAAGAGACTCATTAACATCTACAACATCAGTACGAAATGAACATGAAACATCATCAACACAACAATATTATTATCATTGTTATTGAAGAAACATTCACAGCAGTAATGTTAAAAACAGCTACAATTGCCTTTTAAATGCCAACGTTACCTATATTCCATGTTTTACAAGCAACTAAAATGCTTCTGTAGTACTAACATATAATGCTGTAATAGTGACTCGCCCGGCAATAAATCTATTTCCAAAAGCTGCCCTCAACTCAAAACGCTTTCCTTGAAAGTCGCTTTTAAGCCAACACATTGCGTCTTCTGCATTACTCATGGCCACTGAAAAACATCATTAGTCCGCGACCCAGAGCTCATCATTTCTGATCTAGCTTTCGAGATCATAGCTCCATCACACGAACTGAATAAATGCACTAACTCTTACTGGAGTCTCATCCTGAATGCAGGAAATTCGGTCTAGCTCGTAAAACTGCAGTATGTCGTAAGCGCTTCAACTCATGTTGAACAATTCAAGAAACATAGATCACAATCACACAAAGCAACAGACAAAGCAAGAGGAAAACTTACACAAAAAACAAAATCATGCTGCTTCCGAAGTATACTCCAGAACGACTATTCCATCTTGTTGCAATGACTCTCCCAGTGCTTCACCCACTCTACCGGATATTAGGTGAATTCAACTTTAGTGAGAGTTTTCTTTACTTTCGATGCTTTTCTTAGTGCTACAACTCATCTCTCATCGAATATTTCGTTGTGGCTAAGATCAAGTTGAGTGAGACTGTTGTTTACTTTCAGTGCTTCTGCTACAGCTTTCCATCCTCTACCGGATATTTGGTTGTATCGAAGTTCAAGTAGAATGAGAATGTTGTTTACTTTAAGTGCATCGCCTAGTGCTTCACCTCCTCTATCGGATACTTGGTTTAGTAAAAGGTCAAGTTGAGTGAGAGTGTTGTTTACTTTCAGTGCTTCTGCTAGTGCTTCAACCCCTGTGTCGAATATTTGATTGCCCCAAACATTAAGTTGACTGAGAGTGTTGTTTACTTTCAGTGCTTCTCCTAGTGCTTCAGCTCCTCTATCGGATATTTCGTTTTCTGCAAGATCAAGCTGAGTGAGAGCGTTGTTTACTTTCAGTGCTTCTGCTAGTGCTACACCTCCTCTACCGGATATTTGATTGCTTCTAAGAACAAGTTGAGTGAGAGTGTTGTTTACTTTCAGTGCTTCTGCTTCAGCTCCTTCATCGCATATTTCGTTCCATCTAAGAACAAGTTGAGTGAGAGTGTTGTTTACTTTCATTGCTTGACCTAGTGCTTCAGCTCCTCTATGCGATACTACGTTTAGTGAAAGGTCAAGTTGAGTGAGAGTGTTGTTGACTATCAGTGCTTCTGCTAGTGTCTCAACTCCTGCCTCGAATATTTGGTTGCCCCAAAGGTTAAGTTGGGTGAGAGTGTTGTTTACTGTCAGTGCTTCTGCTAGTGCTTCACCTCCTCTATCGGATACTTGGTTTAGTGAAAGGTCAAGTTGAGTGAGAGTGTTGTTTACTTTCAGTGCTTCACCTAGTGCTTCACCTCCTCTATCAGATATTTCGTTGTCTGCAAGATCAAGTTGAGTGAGAGTGTTGTTGACTTTCAGTGCTTCTCCTAATGCTTCACCTGCTCTACCGGATATTTGGTTGCTTCTAAGAACAAGTTGAGTGAGAGTGTTGTTGACTATCAGCGCGTCTGCTAGTGCCTCACCTCCTCTATCGGATATTTCGTTCCGCGCAAGATTTAGTTGAGTGAGAGTGTTGTTGACTTTCAGTGCTTCTCCTAGTGCTTCACCTCCTCTACCGGATATTTGGTTGAATCTAACATCAAGTTGAGTGAGAGTGTTGTTTACTTTAAGTGCTTCTGCTAGTGTTTCAACTCCTGCCTCGAATATCTGGTTGCCCCAAAGGTTAAGTTGAGTGAGAGTGTTGTTGACTTTCAGTGCTTCTCCTAGTGCTTCACCTCCTCTATCGGATATTTGGTTGTATCTAACATCAAGTTGAGTGAGAGTGTTGTTTACTTTAAGTGCTTCTGCTAGTGTTTCAACTCTTGCCTCGAATATTTGGTTGCCCCAAAGGTTAAGTTGAGTGAGAGTATTGTTTACTTTCAGTGCTTCTGCTAGTGCCTCACCTCCTCTATCGGATATTTGGTTGTGGCTAATATCGAGTTGAGTGATAGTGTTGTTGACTTTGTGCTTCTCCTAGTACTTCACCTCCTGTATGAGATAGTTCGTTGACCACTAGATCCAGTTGAGTGAGAGTGTTGTTTACTTTGAGTGCATCGCCTAGTGCTTCACCTCCTCTATCGGATATTTGGTTGTGGCTAAGATCGAGTTGAGTGAGAGTGTTGTTTACTTTAAGTGCTTCTGCTAATGCTTCACTTCCTCTATCGGATATTTGGTTATGGCTAAGATTAAGTTGAGTGAGAGTCTTGTTTACTTTCAGTGCATCTCCTAGTGCTTCACCTCCTCTACCGGATATTTGGTTGAATCTAACATTAGGTTGAGTGAGAGCCTTGTTTACTTTAAGTGCTTCTGCTAATGCTTCACTTCCTCTATCGGATATTTGGTTATGGCTAAGATTAAGTTGAGTGAGAGTCTTGTTTACTTTCAGTGCTTCTCCTAGTGCTTCACCTCCTCTGCCGGATATTTGGTTGCTTCTAAGAACAAGTTGAGTGAGAGCCTTGTTCACTTTCAGTGCTTGTCCTAGTGCTTCACCTCCTCTGCCGGATATTTGGTTGAATCTAACATTAAGTTGAGTGAGAGCCTTGTTTACTTTCAGTGCTTCTCCTAGTGCTTCAGCTCCTCTATCGGATATTTCGTTTTCTGCAAGATCAGGCTGAGTGAGAGTGTTGTTCACTTCCAGTGCTTCTCCTAGTGCTTCACCTCCTCTATCGGATATTTGGTTGCTTCTAAGAACAAGTTGAGTGAGAGTGTTGTTGACTTTCAGTGCTGCTCCTAGTGCCTCATCTCCTCTATCGGATATTTGGTTATGGCTAAGATCAAGCTGAGTGAGAGTGTTGTTTACTTTCAGTGCTTCTGCTAGTGCTTCAACTCCTGTGTCGAATATTTGATTGCCCCAAACATTAAGTTGAGCGAGAGTGTTGTTTACTTTCAGTGCTTCTGCTAGTGCTTCACCTCCTCTACCGGATATTTGGTTGAATCTAACATTAGGTTGAGTGAGAGCCTTGTTTACTTTAAGTGCTTCTGCTAATGCTTCACTTCCTCTATCGGATATTTGGTTATGGCTAAGATTAAGTTGAGTGAGAGTCTTGTTTACTTTCAGTGCTTCTCCTAGTGCTTCACCTCCTCTGCCGGATATTTGGTTGCTTCTAAGAACAAGTTGAGTGAGAGCCTTGTTCACTTTCAGTGCTTGTCCTAGTGCTTCACCTCCTCTGCCGGATATTTGGTTGAATCTAACATTAAGTTGAGTGAGAGCCTTGTTTACTTTCAGTGCTTCTCCTAGTGCTTCAGCTCCTCTATCGGATATTTCGTTTTCTGCAAGATCAGGCTGAGTGAGAGTGTTGTTCACTTCCAGTGCTTCTCCTAGTGCTTCACCTCCTCTATCGGATATTTGGTTGCTTCTAAGAACAAGTTGAGTGAGAGTGTTGTTGACTTTCAGTGCTGCTCCTAGTGCCTCATCTCCTCTATCGGATATTTGGTTATGGCTAAGATCAAGCTGAGTGAGAGTGTTGTTTACTTTCAGTGCTTCTGCTAGTGCTTCAACTCCTGTGTCGAATATTTGATTGCCCCAAACATTAAGTTGAGCGAGAGTGTTGTTTACTTTCAGTGCTTCTGCTAGTGCTTCACCTCCTCTACCGGATATTTGGTTTAGTGAAAGGTCAAGTTGAGTGAGAGTATTGTTTACTTTCAGTGCTTCTGCTAGTGCTTCACCTCCTCTATCGGATATTCCGTTGTATCCAGGATCAAGCAGAATGAGAGTGTTGTTTACTTTCAGTGCATCGCCTAGTGCTTCACCTCCTCTTTCGGGTACTTGGTTTAGTGAAAGGTCAAGCTGAGTGAGAGTGTTGTTGACTTGCAGTGCTTCTGCTAGTGCTTCAGCTCCTCTATCGGATATTCCGTTGTCCGCAAGATCAAGTTTAGTGAGAGTGTTGTTTACTTTCAGTGCATCGGCTATTGCTCGCCTCCTCTGTCGGATATTCCGTTGTCCGCAAGATCAAGTTTAGTGAGAGTGTTGTTTACTTTCAGTGCATCGGCTAGTGCTTCACCTCCTCTATCGGATACTTGGTTTAGTGAAAGGTCAAGTTGAGTGAGAGTGTTGTTGACTTTCAGTGCTTTTGCTAGTGCTTCACCTCCTCTCTCGGTTATTTGGTTCTCTGCAAGATAAAGCTGAGTTAGAGTGTCGTTTACTTTCAAAGCGTTTGCTAGTAGGCAAACGGCCGTGGTTGGTTCAAAAGAAGTACCAGCCGTTGTGTGCTGGTGGTCGCTGAATTCCATAATCAGTCTTAGCGACCACAGATGTGTCATGCATGAGAAGTGCGGCAACACGACTTTGATGACTTGTTCTGCTTTAATGTGGAAGAAGGATAAAGAACGAAGATTTACCAATATGTTCTCGAGAAAGCGGGTGAAGAACAAGTCAACGTAATCGGAGGTGTCTTTGGACAGACGCAGAGAACGAATTTGTGCTGTTGATGGAAAGTGTTCGGAGATGAAGTCACATCTGGATGTGCTGATGCATTGAAAGTTGAGATCAAACTGTAGGTTGCCGAGTAGTCCATCGAAACGATCGCTTAATCGGAGGAATGAGTGGAGAATATCATAAGGATGGAAATATTCAAAGATTTCAAGGATCACTTCATTCGCAAGCGATTGAAATTGTGTCACATCTAAACAAATATGCATTATCAAGAGTTTGAATTCTTGATCTCTCTTGTATGAAGAGAGCTTCTGAGATGTAAAGGTGGAAGAAAAGCAGGGTTGATACTCACTCACGAAGATGGATAGCAGTGGAACATCGAGTGATGATTCTGGCGAGTATTAGGCACGTTTCCATCCTCCCAGTCCAATATGGAGAGATGGCCAGCCATCAGCAGTTTAGGATGGCCTTGATCAGGGATATCATATCTGTCTCCACTATTCTCAACACATTGCAATCATCAGGCAGTGCGGAGTCATGACTTATATCCCAAACGGGATATTTATCCCGATCGGGCTATACGATTATCCCGATTGGGCTACAAATCCTGATCGGGATATAATCAAGATTCGAATCGGGATATATATCCC